GGAAGAGGAAGAGGAAGAGGAAGAGGAAGAGGAAGAGGAAGAGGAAGAGGAAGAGGAAGAGGAAGAGGAAGAGGAAGAGGAAGAGGAAGAGGAAGGAGGCTCAAAAATTTTTTTCCCCCCTCTTTTAAATTATAATAAATCTCATATTCTTTCCAACAAAGACATGGCRTGGTCAGGACTGAAGCTATAACCTKAGRTTGTTATTAYATATTTATTCTGTGATGCTGCCCATCAAGTAACTGCTGAGAATTACACCAGAATAAGCCTTAGGCAGGATAGGGGCTCAGGAAAACTTCAGTGCTAAATGCAGATCCCACTCAGCCAGAGAACATTTTGTTGTGAAATATTATAGCTGAAGGAAAATCAAATAGCTGTAATTCACACATTGAAATCCCCAGTAACAAATTCCAAACAATTTTTTATTGTCCTTCCAAAACCACATTTGCTAGTTAAAGGCTGGCAAACATCCATCCAAACAACATTTAGGAGTTGTTTTATAATTTTTCCATACCTCTACAAGGCCCTGCAAGATCCTGACGAAGATGACRCATCCGTAGTGCACCCTGGCTGCAGATGGTATGAGCATGTTGAGGGAGGATGTCAGCAGAATAGCAGCACCAAATACTCTGCAAAAGTGAGAAAAAAGGGAAAAGGAAGTAACTTCAGTGTTGTTCCAATTGGCTTCTTCCACATTTATCAAATARATGTTCCCTACATGAGTTCTTCATGTGGGAATATTCTAACTTTGYTCCCATCTGGTGTAATAATCTCTATTATGTATGGGTAAGACCCAGGCCAAACATGGATGTATATTTTATCTATTTAGCAYGATTTCCTAAGGAAAAATATCTCATGCAATCACAGGTATAGATCTTGATTTCCCAGCAGACACCCATTTGCCTTTCATTTTCACCCTAATTTCAGCCAAATCTGATTCAATTCGCCACCCTCTGGAAACAAAATTAGAAATTGTCTGCAAAGGATTTGCTGAAACAGGTGGCCAGTGAAAGAGTTCCTCGTGTGTTTTATTTGTAAGAAAGTGATGCCATGCTCACTCCTTACAAAGCAGAATAGAATCCACTTTTATAAAACCCAAAAGCAGCAGGAAGAATTTCAGAGAGGTGGGGTTTTCTTAGACACAAGAGTTGATCAACCTGGAAACACATATCCATAGAAAACAGGTCATTCTTACTGCTGCTTTTTCACTGAAAATTGCTCATTTTGATTCTTCATATAACTTCAAATAAAGCACATCACACTGTCCAAATAAATGTCTGAAGTGGTGATTCGTTTTCAAAACTCCAGTGATTTGGCCGAATTTTGGTTTGATTCCATTAATATCCACCCTTCATCAGAGGAAACCTTTTTTCTAGCATATTGTGGGGTTTTTTTTATTTGTATAAAACTATGTAATGCAAATATAAATCTGATGACACACGACATCACGGCATCTGATGTGGAACTGATTTGACAGAACCCTTTGACCTCAGCTCATGTTCTTCACAAACTGGTACAGAGCTCTGAGTCAGTGATAAATGACTTATTTGGGCTAAAGATGCAGGATGAAAACTCAAAGATACAAAATTCCACATTCTGCACTGAGAGTGGCAGACTGAGCAAATCTCCAGACAGCAAACTGAGCGGATCCACTTCCATTTGACACATATTAAAGGGCATGGAGGGAAACTTTGCTAAATATCTCTTAATCTGGTCTCCTCACTGTGATCCTCATGACCTCCACCTCGAGTTAGACCACATTTCACATTTCACATTTCACATTCCACATTTCACATTTTACATTTCACTTTTCACATTTCATATTTCACATTTCACATTTCACATTTCATATTTCACATTTCACATTTCTGGCTCTGCTTGTCAACGTGTTCAATACTTTTGCTGGGACTGACTGGTGTATGTGTCTGTGCTGCACTTTGAGCATTATTTTGACCTGAATTCTCTCTCCACTCTTGATTTCTTTATTTGTAAGCYTCTACTACAAAACAACATGCAGTTCAATTCCTTTAATTCCTTCCATTTAATACCTCCATATGATCACACAAACTCCAGTGGTGCCTTGGCTTTCTTTGCTTATTTCCTTTATTTATTAATGAGAAGAGTTTGGGGTCATAGGAGCTTTGCCAGTGATTTTTACAAATTCTTTTAACAAGTTTGATCTTCCTGTTGGCAATTTTTAAAAGACCAATGGGCTGTAATTGTTCTAAAGGTTCACTGRGAAAATCCCAATTTGCTTGTAATGGGGAAGAAAGGACCATTTGGTTTGTAGCCTTTTCTCTCTCTTTTCTGAACAGCTTTTTAATTAAATGTCTAGTGCAGCAATATGGTTTTAAATTYGTGGCTGTGCATAGACTTGTTGGAGCAAATCCTCAGCAAGTGTGAAAGGGTGAATCATTTCAATCACTCTAAATCAATATTCCTGTTAAAATTGTGCAAAGACAGAATATTTTTAAWTWTTTTTTWAATGCCCTCTCTTTATAGGGATGATTTACAAATTGTTACATCAGGTAAGCATTTCTTCAAGGAAATTTGATCCAGTTTTTTTAATTTTGTGTCTGTCACAAATGAGAGCTGTGTTTCCCAGAATTGCCTCTGTTCTCATGTTCATGAAGAGAAACTCTTTCCTTGAGTTTGTTCCTTTCAGAAGACAAAGGAAAATGTAACTGAAGGGATGATCAGAGACACACTTCTTCCAGGTTAAAATCTTGCCTGTATTTGTTACACAAGTACTGGGGAATACTGAGTTACACCAGGGTGCAGATGATGAAATWATTCTGCAGGGTCACTTGTGAGTCAATTCTGTCTCTGAACTGTGCTTGATAGGAACAATTTCCCTTCTCCCCCCAAAAAATCTATGGATTTAAAAGCAGAATAAGCTTGAGTTAAATCGTGATTTTTGCAAGAAATGGCTTTTTAGACCTTTTTTTTTAAAAATGCCTTTTAAAAAGCATACATGGCTATTTCAGTGAGTCCATTTCCTCTATAATTGTTAATCAAGAGCAAATAAATCTTTCTACATTTCCTTTGCATCTCTCAGTGCACACTCAGAAATGTCACCAGTATTTCTTTGTGCTCTTTAATGTTGTTCCATGTATTTCCATAAATACTAGATTCTACCTAACAGAATATTGTGATATAATGCTCAGGTTTTGTATAAACTTCCTGGTTTATTGCTTGAAATATCTCACCTTACACTGTTTATCRTGATTTACATCAAATTTTGAGCTAYAGTCAGTCAAAATATATCTGAATGCAGTTCACATTTGAATACATTTAATTGGGAAGTGGAACATTCTGATTGTTCCTAGGGCATTCCTAAAACATTTTGCTGACTCACCCATCAAACCCTCCAATTGCATAATCCTTTTTTTTTTTTTCTGCTCACACTTTTTTCCCTGTCTGTTATGCCAGTGATTTATGACCCTTTATGTTTAATTTCTTCATCTTGCTCGATTTTGCGGCAATGTTATCTCCAGCAATGGGTTTTTATAAGACACAGCACCCTACAAAACACAGCTCACAGGGATTTTATGGAGTGTTCAGGGGAATGACACCACACCCCACTGCGTTTTTATACAAATATCTGTGATATTCTGATATCATATTGAGTGGAGAGCTCTTATCAGACTCATCACTTGTGTTTCCACAGCTTGGCTTGTGCAGGATTTTTAGGCTGAGCACAAATATCCCTGGAGTTTGGGTCTCTTACAGAGCGAGCCAAGGTTGTTCAGAAATCCTGAACCTGGCTGAACTTTCACTCAGAGCTATCCTCAGCCATCCATTTCATTCTGTGCACACTCCAAACCCCACAAAACATATTTTAATGCCACGGTGAGAATTAGGAGCTCGAGCAGACTGAAGGGAAACTCTGAGTGAATTACAGAGATAAAAGAGGGGAGAGCAATGACACTACCAGAATCCTTGACCCTTGTCTTTGGATGGAGTTAAAATGCTCTGACACATCTTCATGCAGAAAAATTCCTTTCTGACTCAAAATCAGCAACTCTGCAACTATCTCTAGAAGAAAATCACCATATACAGAAGAGGACAATAAATTCAGTAGTAGTAGGTCAAGGAGAGATGAAAATTCTCAGCAAATTCTGGTCCACATAAGTGACCAGAGGCAGTCTGAAAAAAAAAAAAATTATGCTTTGCTCATCTATTTCTATTTCTAGATTCAGTAGACTCAGCCCCCCCAAAAAAAGAATTTAACATGGATCTTCACTGTTTTGCTGCCATTGGCCTCAAAGGTCGTGAACTGTGGCTTGATCCTCCTGTAATATAAATACTAATAATAGCAAAATCATATTTGAATGCGAGACATTTGGGATGGGAGAAGAGAAAGAAAATTACTCTGACAGCTCAGGAAAAATGCTTAGAATGGAACGAGGTTGCAGGGGGAATGAATCTATTTGGGTTTGAAGCCAATTGGCTCGTTTTTTTCTCTTTGGGGACAAACTGAAGAGGAAGAAATATATTTATTTTCATCTCTGGATTTCCAATCTGTGCAGCAGCACTGCTGTCAGGCAGCTCCAGTTACAGAGCATTCTGCAGATATTGTTGTTCAGCTCAAAAAGTGAGCTCAAATGTCAAATTCTGAGTGCCAGATGGGTGCCCTATCAAGTTACATGTGGGATATATGAAAATAAGGGGAGGAATCCTTTTACCCCCACAACTGGAAATGAAAACTGCTGCAAGATCCTTTTAGGTGGGTATGAGGAGGAATCAATTCCTCAGCGGTCTGAATCCCCTGAATCCTTTTTTTTTGCCCATTTTTAATATATTTAATATAATTTAATTTCATATATTTTTTGAGTTAGATGTGGGATATCTGAAAATAAAGGGGAGGCATCCTTTTACCTCCACAACTGGAAATGAAAACTGCTGCAAGATCCTTTTAGGTGGGTACAAGGAGGAATCAATTCCTCAGCTGTCTGAATCCCCTAAATCCTTTTTTTTGCCCATTTTTAATATATTATATATATATATATATATAATATTTAATATATTATATATGATATATAATAAATATATATAAATATAGATAATGTTTTCTATTTTTATATCTTTTAATATATTTATATACTTCCACAACTATCAATGCCTCCATTCCCTGAATAATTGAACCCACCTTGAGAAAATGAAATTACAGATACCAAATGTGTCTTTTCTAAAGCATGTGAAGTACTTTAGCTACATTTGTCCTTTCAAAAAAAAAATTCAAATAGCAACTCTGTATGTTTAAAACAGATTTTTAAATAATTAAATAATAAGTTGCTGTTGTTTTTTAGATGTGTCAATATATGCTGTATCAGTGAATTATGAATTTGATTTCATTAAAATTCAAAATAATTAAAGAATAGTAAGTCTTGGTCACTGACAACTACAAAACACCATTGCATGTGTTTTCACAGATTTGCATGGAGAAATACGAAGGTACAGAAATTATTCAAATTAATTCAGGACTGTGACTGAATAGTTTTTACCTCCAAAACACCACTGATCATCATTTCATGGAAGATCCATCTACTGAATAGGAAAGTTGGATTATTTTGTTCGTTTTCTAGGGAATCATAGTGTGTGGGGGTGTGTGGGGGTGTGTGTGTGT